ACAGCCCTTCCCATCCTGAGGACTTGTGTAGAAAATGAAATAAGAATATTAATACATGCATGCATAGGGTCCCATACTTTAAGAATAGTGGAGCCAATCTGTAATGAGATAAAAGGAGTTATTAATTGGAAAAGGAGTATAATGACCCCTGGAGTCTTACAGTTAGTAGATACTCTATAAAAAGTAGTTATTATCATCAGAAATTTTTCCTACATAGCTTTAAACCCAAAAGTTTCTTTCAATCAATAGCATGCTTTAGCATAGCCCAAAAATCCAGACTGGCCTTGAAATGTAACATTGCCACACATCTAACACAGAGTCAAATAAACTACTCCTATGTAATCTGTAATGACATAATTGAAACCGGGTTTACATTTATTTAAGTAGCATAGTTTTGATGGAATGAAAATATTTTAGTAAGCGGCACAACATATGTTTGAGCAAAATTTACACAGGTCTCCCCTGCCTTATGGACTCCTCACCTATAAGAACTCCATTTTGGAAATGAAAAAGGAAAAGAAAAAAAAAACAAAAACGAAGGAGAAGGAGGTAGTGTTAAGTTTCAGTTCTACACAATGGCACCTTTAACAAACCTGCCAACTAGTCAAAAACTAAATAGAGTGGTTTGAAAAAAATCTTTATTACTGCCAGTTAATATTCACAGGACTCTGGGGAAACAAGAACTTTCAATGACTCAATATTTATAAATGCTACTGTTGTCCCCCAACATGTCTTAGACTCCTAAGAGATGCTGGGATATTTTGCTATAATGAGGGTGAGGGTATAAGTTTTAAATAGGGGAAAGAAGTAGTTTGGAAAATAAAATTAAACACATATAAATGAGCACTTGGTGGTCTTGAATTTGAATCACTTGAATATGATTGGGTAACCTAATTCGTCTGGGTTTTAATTTTAATTTACCAATGTCTTCAACATAGAGAAAATATTCAAAATGTACAACATTGATGACCAAGATAGTTTTTGTCTTTCTATTTGATATTTTGTCACCTTACAGATGAAGATGCCAAAAAGGGCTAAGCTTCAAATTTGGGATATCAAGATAACTGAGTTTGTGTTTACAACTCTGATGGTGTAATTTTAACTCCAAATGCTTGAGAAACAATAACATTAGTGAAGTGAAGTCAAGTCTAAATTAAAAGTCAGTGTTTCCATTACCCACCCTAACAGTATTTTCAGGAGTTTATATAACTTGATCATTAAAAAATGCTCTAGGCTGAAAACCTGGTCTATGTCAATCTTGGACTAAACTAGTTTGTAAAACTCTGAAGTTTGTTCTTCTCTTTTATCCTTTTTCAAGAATGTATTAATTTTAAATGTTACCAATAAAATTGAACTAAAAAAAATTCTGCAACACCTGATGAGCCAATGCTATTACATGCATTACTAGTTTTCAGAAGAAATTTATGATTTCTATAAACTCACCTTTAAGGTGCCTGTGGCTGGAAGTAAAAATCTCAAATTCCTTTCTTAACTCAATCTTTAACATATCCCTTCTCTAGTGGTTACTGCATCAAAAATATAGGAACTTCAAATTGGGACTTTAACTTTTTATAGAAATAAACTTCAAATTGGAATTTAACTCTGTAGAAATAAAGTTTACTATTATGACTTCCATTAAATTGGATCTTTGTGGAATAGAGTTTTCATATAGGGATATCAAAACAAAGGAAAAAGAAGACATTATATTAGATTCTGACATGTTGAAATTATATTACAGTAAAGAATAATAGTAAAGGACATTGGGGCATAAATGAAAATACTGTTTTATTCTTTTTGTTTGTTTGCTTGTTTTTGAGACAGAGTCTTGCTCTGTCACCCAGGCTAGAGTGCAGTGGCATCATCATAGCACACTGCAACCTTCAACTCCTGGGCTCAAGCGATCTACTCCTGAGCCTCCTTAGTAGCTGGAACTCCAGTCACATGCCACCACGCCCAACTAGTTTTTCTTAGTTTTTGAAAAGATGGAGTCTCCCTATGTTGCTCAGCTTGAATGAAAATATTTTTGACAGAGACATGGAAATACCATGGTAGCAGGAAGCCCAAATATTTAGGAAGTGAAGTTAGGAAAGGCAGACCTAGCTCTTCAAGATTGAGGAGAAATCCTTAGGAAAAGGCATGTCAAGAGGCGGTCTCTTACTATACATGAAATGGCCTTCTCCCTTCACCACTGGGAAATACAGACTTCTGCATAATATTAGGTTAAGTATGGAATGTCCGATTTCCTTAAGTACGAAGTTTGACAGTTGCTATCTCTGATATTTCACTTTGACATTTTTTTTTTTTTTATTGTGAAGGTACATCCTCATTGTTTCAAATGCACATTTTGGCTTGTGATTATCTTTCAGATTTTTTTCTGAGCAATTTTTGTGAAACCATGGATAAGTCAAAAATTCATCTTATTTTTTAATATGACTTCCCTCATGGAACCAATGTAGTGCCGACAGCTTGAAATATCAACAAAGTATTTGGGAAAGATGTGGCTAATGAACATACAATACATCAATGGTTTGGTAAGTTCCATTCTGGTGATTTTAATCTTCAAGCGTGTCCACCCCCCAGTCATTGCGCACTGCACCCATTACGTGTATATATACCTACCCCCTCCTACCCCCAACATGTTCAACACCCAATGGACATTACTACTATATGTGCACATAAGTGTTGATCAGTTAATATCAATTTTATGGTGTGTACTTATGGTGCTTGTTTTTCCATTTTTGTGATGCTTCACTTAGTAGAATGGGCTCCAGCTGTATCCAGGATAACACAAGAGGTGCTGGATCAGTGTTGTTTTTTGTGGCTGAGTAGAACTCCATGGTACACATGAATTTGACATCTTATTCTAATACCCTCCAGTGTAGTCCTTCCTATATCACTTATCAACCTAAAATTATTTGCAGAAATGAGTAACACATATTTATAAACTCAAATTTGTAAAGTCTGATAAGTTATCATGTATCCTATAATGAAATATTACTAATTATGAAGACCTCATTATTTTTTTTCAAATCTTTTATTTGGACAATGCCTACAGTTATAAAATTCTTCCTTATGGTCCTGGTAGTGCCTCATTAAGAGATATACATAGGATTTTTGGTTAAGAAGCACTATAAAATATTGCTGCTAACATAATATTGCTGCTAAGTCCAAAAAGATGTAAACATGGCCAAATATAATAAATATTCTTCATCACTATAACATAACCAAAATGTCATTATTTAAACATTATGCTTTATCAACATTTTAATAATGGGAGGAGGCTAGTTTGTATCAAACATTAAAACTACATCTTAACAACTGAATATTATTCAGCCATGAAAAGGGATAAGGTATTGATACATGCTGCAACATGAAGGAACCTTGAAAATATTATGCTAAAAAAAGAAGGCAGACACAGTGCCTACTGATTCTATAATGGTTTTATATAACATGTCTCGAATAGTAAAATCTATTATAATAAACACAGAAAATAGATTAGTGGTTGCCTAGGGATGGTTGGGAAGGGAATGGAGAATAACTATTCATAGGTATAAGATTTCTTTTGGAGGTAATGACTGTTTTGGAATTAGACAGCAGTGATGGTTGCACAACCTTTGGAATACACTAAAAACCACTGAATTGTATAATTTAAATGGGTGAATTTCAGAAGTAAAAATGATTGGAAGACACAGGAAGAACGCCACTGGTAAGCCAAGGGGCACCCAAAGCCACAAGAAGCCAGGAGAGAGGCTTCTCTGGAACTGGTTTTCCCTCACAGTTCTCAGAAGAAACCAACTCCGCCATTATGATTGCAGACTTCTGGCTTCCAAAACTATGAGGCAATAAATTTCTGTTGTTTAAGCCAAAAAAAAAAGAGAGAGAGTGGATTTTATGGTAGGTAAATTATATATCAATTTTAAAAACAACAACCATACCTTAAATAATAGATCTTGAATTTAAAATGTCTATCTTTTGATATGCATTATTTTCAAAGGAACTCTGAATTCAATATTAAGTGGCCAAAATAAACATTAACTTTACCTGTGTATATATACAAAAGTTATGCAGTGAGGGATAATGGATTATTTATGAATATGAATTCTACTAAAGAATCCCTCACTATATTTAAGTTAATACTCTTTGATCAGTGAAGAATTTTGATCTTTTTTATTTTACAAGGAAGGGAAGGTTTACTTCATGTTACTTGTACTTGCACTTATGAAAGTTCAGGAAATTTCAAACCCACAAATGGGTCCTTCAAAGAAAAACTGACAAGTTAAAACTGTTATTACAGTCTATTTCAAATATCCCAGGGTTTATAAAGAAACTTTAACCTAAAACATACGGACTGTGTTCCCTCCATTTAAAGCGCTTCTGTTTTTTCAAGTGACAATCACACATCCTAACCAAAGCATGATTTATTCAATGATAGGTAAATTTTGGAAAGATAATACTATCTAGATAAAACCTATATATGCTTGATATAATTTTTATATCCTTTTTCAGATAATAACTTCAAAATATAATGGGCATAAGATACATTATTTCCCTATAAATATTAATAAAGAATTTGTAAAGAAACTGTATGTGTCATTTCAGTTTTCCTATAAAAACATCAGAAATTTTATATTATGCTTTATATTAATTATAGGATTTATGTCACTGTCTTATAACCATATAAAGTTATTCAACTTTTGTACTTTTATTTATCATGTTAGAAATTATACATGTCTTTTTTTACTAGCTGCACTATAAGCTGCAAAAACTGTTTATAAATCTTGATTTTTAGGTTAAGCCCAATGATAATGTCTTACAGATAGGGACCTGACATTTAATACATGTTGAAGATCCATGAATAAACTTAATCTTATGACCCAGTTTTCCATGGCAAAGCTTCTTCATATGTACCTATACTATGTTGAATTTTCAAGTGAGTGTGTTGACATGTAGCTTTGTTATGCACATACATAATATGAAAAAGAAAACATCATAATACTCACAGTTGTAACCAGGTGCAATACGGTGTTGAGCTTCAAGGCTAGCCAGTGTGATGTGGAAAATGATGTGCAGCAACAGGAAGGAAAGACTGGTGAAGCACAGAGACTTTAATAACCGTCCCGTATGTCCTAGGAGATGAAAAGAACAGAGATTTTATAAGAGAACTTAAGATTAAACACACTCATTCTTTCAACTATGTACAGTTCCACATAGAACATGTTTATGTACAACCTATTATGTAGACTGACTCAAAATATATGTAGTGTAATAATTATAACTTTAATTATTAGTCTATACCTAAAAACTACCTTATTCCTTTGTAAGCTTATATAATTGGCTTTACATTTATTAAAAATTCAATGTAAAAGAAGAATGCTTTTCTATTTATTATATGACATACTGTAGTAGAACCACAAAAAGGCCCTGACCCAGAAAATTTTATAAAGAAGTGCTACCAACTTTGAAGGAAGATAATCCCTATCTGATAAAAACAGTTTCAGAAAGTAGAAAAAGAAGGAAAACTGCCTAAAACATTTTATGAAGTTAGAGTAACTTTAATTTCAAAACTAAGTAAGGCTAGAAAAGAAAATTATAAACCCATTTTACTTATGAAAATAGACAAAAATTATAAAAAAGGATAAACAACTGAAATAGCATAGTAAAAATATAATGCATCACAATACATTATCAAGGGTTTATTGCAGGAAAACAAATATGGTTAACATTGTCTGATATGATATCATGACTTTCTCAATGGATACAGAAAAAACAATTCATAAAGTTCAAAACTTATTTATAATTTTTAAAATGCTAAGAAAACTAGGAATAGAAGGAAACATTCTTAAAGGATTATAACATAACTAAAGCAAACATCCTGTTTATGGTGGAATTTTAGACATAGTCCTTCCACTGTCAGAGAATAATCAAAGACATATCATTGCCACCAATTAACATATCACTGGGTGAACTGGATAATGCCATAAGATAAGAAAAAGAATAAAGAGTCTTAATAATTAGAGTTATTTGCAGATAATATGACAAAAGGAACTATTAATATTTTCAGATGATACCATCATCAATTTTGAACACTAAACTGAATCCACAGATCAATTATTAGAACAAATATAAAAATTTAAGAAATGATTTAGAAAAATTAATTTATCTCCTCTATATTAGCAATACTCAAATAGAAAATAAGAGACAACTTTATTAGCAATCAAAATTGTATTGTAATGGTGTTGTCAATGTGTAAGTATGCTACGGGAAAGTCTATAAGCTATAGTTATTAAACCAACACTAATCTGGGTGTTGCCATGATTTTAGAGATGTCTTTAAAGGCCATAATCAACTGACATTAATGAAGGGACACTATCCTCCATAATCTGGGAAGGCCTGATTCAATCATCTGGAAGGCCTGAAAACCAGGCTGAGGTAGGGGTGTGTGTGTGTGTGTGTGTGTGTGTGTGTGTGTGTGTGTGTGTGTGTGAGACAGAAAAGAAACTTTGTTACCTGTGGAGAATAACCTTAGCCTGTGCCATGAATTTTGGGTTGCCTATGATTTTCCCTTCCTGATAGCATATCCTATTGATTGTGAACTTCCTTAGCCAGCCTAGATAATCAATTGTGTAAGTAAATTCCTTGTAATAAATCATATATAGAGAAATATATATTATAAATCCTATGGGTATGGTCATTCTAGCTGAAACTTGACTGATAAGAGTATTTAAGAATTAACCTACAAAAGAGTTCACAAGACCTTATGGACAAAATTATAATAAATAGAAAAACAAATAGGAGATATAAATAAATGAAAATATCTGTTACGTTCCTGATGAAATGACCTTATATGATAAAATGTCAATTTCCCTCAAATTTAGTCAAAAATTCAATACAATTTCAAATAAAATGCCAACAAAAACTTTTACACCTTTAACAACATATTTCAAAGTATATAAAAAGCCAGGTGTGTGTGGTGGCTCATGCCTGAGATTCTAACACTTTGGGAGGCTGAGGTGAGAGATTCACTTGAGGACAGGAGTTTGAGACCAGCCTGATGAACATAGTGAGATCCTGTCTCTACAAAAAATAGAAAAATTAGCTGGGCAAGGTGGTTCTCCAGGAGCTGAGGCAGGAGGATCGCGTGAGCCCAGGAATTAGAGGTTGCGTGAGCTATGATGATACCACTGCACTCTAGCCCAGAAAAAAGGATGAGACTCTCTCTCTATATATATATATATATGTGTGTGTGTGTGTGTATATATATATATATACATATATATACATGTATATATATCACACGTTTATGAAAAATGCTTTGAAAATTTCAATAAACATTTTATAATATATTTAGAATAAAACTCTATGAATTTCCATGTAAATTTTGAAATTTTTAGAAATAAAGTCAAAAGTAGGTGAGGTTGTTATGTCCTAACAGACATTAATTATGCTACAAACCCCTAAGTTAAAACAAACAAACAAAAAATTAAGATTCCTATGGAGAGAAGAAAAAGTCAAATGGAATACCACATATTGCTCAGAAACATACCAATTTATTTATATTAACTTGATAAATATCAAAGTCAACTCTACAAATTAACAGGAAAAGGATAGGAATAACATCAGCAAGATGGAAGAATAGGAGGTTCTAGCTCTAATTTCCCCACAGAAACATAAATTTTGGCAACCATCCATGGACAAGAATACTTTTGTGGGAGCCCGAGAGGCTGTTCAAGTTTCAAGCACCACCAAGGAACAACAACAAAAAATCCAATAGTAAACATATTGAAGAGGGTAAGAAAAGAAGTTTCATTTAATCCATGTCACCCTTCTCCCGAGGTGGCACGGCTTGGTGCCAAAAAGGCCTGGTTGGCCTTCAATTTCTCACATTGGAGAAAGCAAGGGTAATGTGAGCAACCAGTTTTCCCACTCTTACAGGATGCTACCCAGGAGGCCCATTCTGTTTTGCCTCACCCAGAAGACGGAAAGGATAAACCTAGAAGCCAGAAAAAAAGTGGAGAGTGAATAGCAACCGGTACACAATTCTCAACAGCCAGCCACAAACCCTAATGACCAGCTTATAGACTCCCACGACGAGACCCAACACTGAACCCTACAAGATGACTTGCCAGAGGACCCCCACGACCAACTGATGCAGCCCTTCAGCACCCTGTGCTCCCTATCCTATGGACTGCACTCTGTGTACCTGCATGCATGGCCTGCACAAGCTCCTTCAGCTAACACACAAATCTCAACAGCAGGTAGAAATCTTCGCATCTGGATTGACTGTTCTGGTAAGGGAGAAAATACACAACTTTGAGTATGTCAGGGCCTTGCCCTAGGGAAACTGAAGGCTGTTGGTACCAGGTCTGGTTTTGAGATAGAAATGGCACAAGATCCTAGTACTTCCCCTACAAGAAGGAACAAGAAAAGAGGAGCAGAGGCACCCATAGACAAAGTCTGAGAGACCCCTAGAAAATCTAACCAGACTCACTAATAAAGACCCTTCTAGCCTAAAGACAGTCAGTAAAGACTGGAGATAGTGACTCCTTCTTCAAATGTTAAGACATCAGTGCAAGTCTTCAAAGAACATGAAGAATCAAGAAAATATGACACCACCGAAGGAAAAAACATCAAGTTCCAGTGTCTGACTTCAAAGAAATGGAGATCTACCAATTGCCTGAGAAATAATTGAAAATAATCACCTTGAAGTTCAGTGAGCTACAAGAGAACACAGATAAACAATTAAACAAAATTTTTGAAAAAATGAACGCACTGAGACTTCAATAAAGAGATAGAAACCATAAGAAATAACCAAATAAAAAATGTGGAGCTGAAGAATACAATGTCTTAACTGAAAAACTGAATAAAGAGTTTCAACAACAGACTTTATCAAGCAAAATAACCTCAGCAAACATTTGAATTATCCATTAGAGGAACAAGAAGAAGATAAGAGAATGAAAGAGTTAAAAAAAAAAAGTCCCTATCAGATATGGGACATCATCAAAGTGAACTTATATACATTTTATGGTGTCCAAGAAGGAGTAGAGAAAGACAATGAGGAAGAAAGCTTGGCCGGGCGCTGTGGCTCACGCCTGTAATCCTAGCTCTCTGGGAGGCCGAGGCGGGTGGATCGTTGGAGCTCAGAAGTTCAAGACCAGCCTGAGCAAGAGCCGAGACCCCGTCTCTACTAAAAATAAAAAAAAAAAAAACGTTAATTGGCCAACTGAAAATGGAAAAAAAAAAAATAAAGGAATAAAAAAAAAAAATTTTGAGAGTGCCGTGGCATCAGCTTAGCTCACAGCAACCTCAGACTCCTGGGCTCAAGCAATCCTGCTGCCTCGGCCTCCCGAGTAGCTGGGACCACGGGCATGCACCACATGCCTAGCTAATTGTTTTTTCTATATCTATTAGTTGGGCAATTAATTTCTTTCTATTTATAGTACAGACAGGGTCTTGCTCTTGCTCAGGCTGGTTTTGAGATCCTGACCTCAAGCAATCTGCCCCCCCTTGGCCTCCCAGAGTGCTAGGATTACAGGCGTGAGCCACCGCGCCCAGCCCAAATAAACTCTCTATATTAATTTTGCCTCAGCTTTGCTATTAGATAAAAAATCTCATGGACAGACAATAGTATCTTGTTTTAGTTTGTAAACTTTCCCTGATTGGTAATGAGATTGAGCAACTTTTCCTATATTATTCCTTGGATGTTTTTTCTTCTTTGATTTGCCATTTTATATTCTTTGCCTCTTTTCCTTTCCTTCACTTTCCCTTTCCCTTTCCTTTCCTAAAAAAAAAAAAAAAAAAAAAAAAAAAAGCTTATTTAAGAAATAATGACAGAAAATTTCCTAAATCTGGAGAGTGGAATGAACATACAGGTCCAGTAAGCCCCAAGAATTCCACATAGGTTGAGTATAAAGAGATATTCACAGAGAGGCATTATAATTAAATTGTCAAAAGTCAAAACCAAAGAGTTTTGAAAGCAGTAAGAGAAAAGCAACTTGTCATACAAGGGTACAATCAGCAGACTATAAGAGGATTTCTCATCAGAAACCTTGTAAGCCAGAAAAGAGTGGGGCAATATATTCAAAGTACTAAAGGGAAAAAAATGCTAACCAAAAAGAATATACCCACT